AGGCTGATCTGGTGTCCTCTGCAGGGTAAACAGGGAATAGCTTCAGAAATATCTTCTTTATCCATCAGATCCATTAAACCCTTAACCTGTTTTATGTTCACAACAAAAGTGCAAACAGAAATAATTTAACTCGGAAATCGTCCTCAAATGATCGTAATTCAGATTTTTCCTGCTCTAAATGCGTCTATATAGAAACCTTTGACTCAGTTTAATGACTATGTTGTCTGAATGAAGCGTTGTCGCTTTAATTGGAAGGAAGTTTATTGTTATTTCTATAGATTTCAGGATCCTAACTCCATTTAGAAACCCAGTTGTCCCCAGATGGCCGCCTCAGCTGTGGCCGTCCTCTTAACTCTGTCGGTGTGTGCTGCTGTTTGTCCAGAAAATGAAAATTCAGTAAGTAACATTTTTTTTTCTGCATGAAAACTGGGAAATCTTCCAAAATGTGTTGTATATTCTCAGATGTTTTGCAGAGATAGAGCTTTCCTGAGCCTTTCTTAATCTTAGTTAGGTTTTAATCTGATTGATTACAAACTAATGGATGTAAAAACACATTTTTACACAGACGTTCCTTTTTCTTTTTGTCAGACTCGGAGTCTGTGGAGCCTCGAAAACGAGCCGATGGAGGTGAAACTAGCTGCCCTGATAAAGGTGAAGTCTCACACGCTGCCCAATGGGTGTATTTATCAGAGAATTTTAAATTAATCCGACAGGTTTGATCATTTTATATTCAAATATGTAAAAATTTTGATTTGCAACCTGAATTTTAACATATTTCTGTCTCAGATTTTAAGATTTTTGGCATCTTTGACTATTAAATGAGCCAAACAAGACTTAAATTTTTATTAGATTGTAAAAAAAAATAAAAAGTAAAATAAAAGATCTAAAATCTTTTTTTAAACATAAGTACTAATGACAAGATGTAATCTTTAAATATCAGGTTTACTTATTTCTTTTTTCTTAATTTTATTTACGCATTTTTTTTAAAAATTCATTTTGTCATTTTATTTTATTTTATTTTTTCCCTTGTCCTGTTCAGCATTGTGGCAGCAGAACTAAAATCTGAGTATTCTGGGTGCTATTCTCAAGGGAGACTTTGTTACCCAAAACTGCTTTATTTATTCATTTTTGTTACTAAACTTACACGTGTCCAATAATGCCGAACCTGACAGAGGGAAGAAAGAAGAGCAGGGCAGAATAAATAAATAAAATACTTAATTTCTATGTTTAAACAGTCGTCTGGATTTTTAAATGAGCTTTTGTGTGTATAAATGTCTGACCCTGCAGGAGATGGAGAATCTAAAGTGTGAGCAAACAGCCCTTCAGCAGCAGGTAGCTCCCATTTCCTCCGGACTCAGACCCAAAAACTCCAGATCTCAAACTCAAACTTTTCTGGATTTGTCTCCTCAGAAGCTCAGTGAGGTCCGGAGGACGGGATCCCAGCGGCCAGTCGGTCAGTCACTTTCCCCAAAACTCTGAGAGTGTTTTGGCAGGACCTCGAGAAGGCAATCCATGCAGTTTTTTGAGCATTTTGACTGATTTTTCAAGAGCCACAGAATAGTTTGTGCTATGACTATGTAAACACCGAACACACCAAAAGAAAGAGT